TGTTTAAAAAAAAAAAAAAAAAAAAAAAAAAAAAAAAACACCCCAGCCATATTTCAGAAGACATGCAAAATAAAATCCAATTGTATTTAATGGCTAAATATAAATTAAACTTAATCAATAAAAGCTGAGACTGAACCTTGGATCTGATGGAGGACCAACATACAATAGCAGAGCTATTTTTATGATTCCTTAACAAGTATAAGTCAGTTTATGTGAAGGATAAAGGGATTCACTTAGCTAGTGTGAACTTTTGTAATGCAGAGTTTACTGATTCCACTGCTAGGAAAAAACACCCCGTGAAACAAAACATAGAATACTCTAAATTTACTTGTTAAATTCATTTTGTGTGTCTTCTCAGTAGGGTCTGATATGAAATTTACCGGTCAATGAAAGGGAACCCAAGGAATGGGTCAGGCTTTTGGTTGGTATATCCCATTTATGTATTGGTTATTGTTCTATATTATTTTCTTGAGTTTTTGTGGAAGGGAGAGTATAAGCAAATTCTAGAAGTCATCAAAGAATAGAATAAGATTGTTATTTGTTTTTGGTGATGGTAAGGGATGCCATATCTCTATTCCTCCCTCCTTCTTTCTTCTTTTTGGGAAGAAGTAGAAAAGGATAAGTAAAGAATATTGGTAGAAAGTGAAAGAGTCTTCCTTTTTTTTTTTTGTTGGAATGGAGCTTACGCAGATTTCTCTTAGCCCTACCTATTGCTTGAAAGGAACCTTCATTGTCTCAGTAGCTGGAATGAGGACCCACCTTGTTTTGGAGCTATGAAAATCAATTTCAAAACCTTTGGAAATTCATGCACATCTAAGTTTATGGACATTTTTCTATTATTATTTTTAACCAGTATCATACTTTTTTCAGTGAGCTGATCTACTGTAGGATTTTACATGTAATTATTCTACAGCAGTGTTACAATTTTTTATGTTTTTAGGATGTAAAACTGGAAGGGGCATCCTGGGCCCTTGAGTTCATGTCCTTGCTAATGTGGACAACCAGGTTATCCTGGTCACAAATTTGGGGATTTCCATCTGAAAACATTGGGTTGTTTCCTTTCCAAACTCAATTTCTTCATGGCCAATTTATGACTATTTATTCTTATGCCAGTGTGTTCCTTTGGCTTAGTTCTTACCCTTCTCAGGTGTTTACCTCAGGGTGTGTTTATAGACATCAGTTGTACTCTCTCTCAACTGTCCTTTTGCTAGAATAAACCAACAACAATCTTTATGTCCCAGTCATACATGCTAGGCAGGAGTTGCTTAACAGGAAAAGTATTGTTTTAATTTGGAGAGATACAACTATTCAGGGATATTTGTAATTATAACATTCTTGATTAGATACATGGTAAATTCAGAATTAAATTTACCTTGTTCAGCTGTAGAGTGTTTTGTTGCTGGGAAGTGTTAATATTTGACAGATTTTTTTTTTACGAAGATATTTTTTGGACACGTAACAGTTGCCCCATTTTTGCACTGCTTCTCATTACATGCATTTTGATATATACATTATACCTTCTGTCACTGAAACTTGCTAATCCACTGAAACATCTGTGCTAATCTCTTCTGTAGAAATGTATTTTATTTGCTGCTGTCTGTGCCTGACACTATATTAGTACATTTCATTTGCTCATCATTTGCCTTATGATTGTGTAAGAATAGTACATATCCTGTGACATTTAGTATTTTTTCAGTAATGCCTCTAAAGCTACTGACAAGGGAATCTGGCTAAAGGTAGACCAGCAAGCTCAATGATCTGTGCCTTTGAAACTTAGAGGCATGCTCACGTGTGCTGGGCCTGCAACCTTCTCTACTTGCTGTCAAAAACATGGAGAAGTACATGGCATGGTGCGTATGTAATACAAGTATGTTCCTTATCTAGGTTTTAAAGCTATACCTGGCTTCAAATTTAGGAAAATATTCACAAGCTCTATTTCTCACCCAAGTTTTCACCCTCAACTTCCTACTTTGTATATAATGTGGAGGTCTTGCATTAGCAGCTCTACCTACAGTATTATTGCCATTTGCCTTTAACAGTTCTTCATTGAGTAGTTGCTTTATCATAAGAGGGGGTGTTTGCATGTATGTATGTGTGTGTGTGTGTATATATATATATATATATAAAATATATATATATTTTTTCATATATATGTATATATGAAAATAATAGTTATTTTCTCCTCCATCCCAGTCTCCTTTCTTCCTCAAAACAAAATAAGTTTCCCTGCGTAATGAAATGGTTTAGGCTTGGTTTCCTTTGGATTTGTTGTGCCCCACCTCTGCCCCAGTAACCCTAACTCTTCTGTCACAATCCCCAAGACCGCTTTGCTGCAGTTCTACCATGCATCTAGGGAATTCCTCCTCCCACAGTATTCTCAGCCCCCTTCTTTATCACACATTGACAAAAATATCTCTGCCTTTCTTCCATGTTCAGCATATGTTTGAGTGGGCAAAAACCAATACTGGCTGGCTGGAGTGCGGATGTCACTGTTACCTGAAACTCTGGCTCTCTTTCAAATTTTACAGAAATAGGCCATTGCATCAAAAGTTATTAGCAGATGTGGACGTTGCAGTATTGTCTGAGCATAGTTTGCTTAGGAAGACTTTTGTGGTGCTTTAGGAGAAATTTTTCGTTTAATATGGTGGCAGACAAATTTTTGTTTGTAGTATGGAATCTTTTTAGTATGGAATTCACTGCAATGTTTATGTTCTTCAAGAAATCCTTGTGAACCTGTTCTTTACTTGTTCTTCATTTTTTTCACCCAAGCAAATATTCCAGAAAGTGAACAACAGCCTCCAGTCATGATATTATAAAAGACATATAAGCAGTTTATTGAGAGAAATCTGGAAAAGATCAAAAAAAATCACCCATATTGCACTTCACCATCCCATAAGTTACTTTTTGGTTTAAAATAACAACGAGTAATGTTTTATGTATGTATGTAAGTGTGTATGTATCTATGTTTTATATTTTCTGATTGATTTTGAAAGTACAACCTGGAAAATCAACATGTAACTTTTCCTGCTAAGCAAATCTAGTAATCTTTCACCTTGTATTGTCAATAGGAGGATGTTTGCTGTAAAGAGTTAAATTTAATTTTCTTTCTTTCTACAACATTCTCCATTTCTAACATACTGAACTTCTAGATGTGATCCCTAGAGCAAAGAATGGGTGATGTAGACAATCATATGTGCTTAAAGGATTTTTTTATACATCTTTCCTATAAATATCTGGAATGTGTGACAAATACTTAATTGCAATTTCTTAAGTGAACTAAAACATTTATGCATGTGATGTATAAAAATGCTCACTCGCTCTCTCTGTAGACTTTGGGGACGATAGTTAATCATCTGGTATACATTTGTTTATGCATTGTGCTTCAGGCATTTGTTCCGCGTTACCCTTTATGTATGGCATATCTTCGATATTCTTTCTAATGGATGTTGTAAGTCTTGTCTTTTCTTCAGTTTATAAACTTCTCGGGAAAAAAGCTTTCCAAAATGGGATTTTTTTCCAGTGAATTCTTGATCATTATAGAGCAGAGCTGTCATGTTTTGTGCAAAGGCTAATATTTTATACCTCTGGTGATTTTACTATTGTGCTCCTATGGTATGGTCTGTTCAGCATTGTATTTGGAAGGCTAAATATTAAAATTCATAAGTATAAATGTATCCTT